TGTCAACACACAAGAAAATAATGAGTTGTCGCATTACCTTACATGTGTAAGTTTAACATATGTGTAAGTTTAATACATGTCTAAGTTAAATATATGTGTAAGTTTGTATTGAATAGAAAGTAGTGTTACTTGGACAGCAACTGTCTATAGGTATGTGCTCTGTCATCACTTCTGACAGCACAAAGTTGTCAACACACAAGAAAATAATGAGTTGTCGCAGTATACGTCAGAACATTAATAGAAACGAAATAGTCTTGCAATTTGTTTTATTGAAAACTGGCCATAAATATCAACGCCATACATAAGGGTAACATTCTTTGAAAATGGTATTATAACAGTAACAATCGTCAACAACCACTTGATATACAAATGCATGAGCAGAAGAATAACAATGTCGCTTTGCAATTTGTTTCATTCAAAACAATAAATGAATCGTCCCAAACATCGTAACATACTAACATTGTAACAACATCACAAGAGTGACAATCAACAAGAAAACATATCAGCTGCACCAGTCGTGTAAGAATATAACATCCAGCAAAGAGCACAACACCTCGGTTTAAAACTGCAGACAAACCATAAGATGAGACTCTGTATGACATTGCTGATCGAAAGATGGAGAAGACATGCTTCTGACACTCATCCTTTGCCTACTTCTTCCCATCTTTTTCTGGCCTGCTGTCCCCGACTTGGATCGTGCCCGAAACTGCTTCAAATCGTCCACGTGATCAGCGTGCAGCATGGGAACGTAGGTCTGGGGTTCACACATATCCTGCAAGGAAACATACAAGAGAAATTACAAATCTATCTTGAAGAAAGTCAGTTGTGTTAGTCTCCGCCCAAAATGGAAAGCATATGAAGAGTGGGCTACAATACATTGTCCATGGGAATGTAGTATATTATACAAGCAGACACCCTACCTTGTGCTCACTAAAGAAAGCCTTGTATCCAGATTGCAGAAGGTAGACCTCGGGATAATACAGCTCTGGGTAACGGTGACTGTTGGCTTGTCTGTCTTCGCTTCTCAAGTGACGCATCCTGTAGAAAGAGAACATGAACATTTGAATAAAGTCTATGGTGACTGAGGGACGATATCGTATATCTCGGAAAATCTTACGTTTGAAGAGCTTACATTAGGCGAAAAATAGTATATCCAATAACAGAAGTAATGTAATATGACTGCTAAACAACTTACATTTTAGGACCTCTTTCGGATGAGAACTCACAATGGAATATCAAAACTGTCGGTTGGCTAGCAGGGCGTTTAATAAGCTCTGAAATGCCTTCCTCTGTGTATATATTGGCGGCACCTTGGATATGTCCTCCCTCAAATTCGTAGGGGTACCTGCAGTCAACGATCTGATACTCGCTAATCTCGGGAAAGCGCCCTTTCATTAGTAGCTGAACCTGAAAATATGCAAGAAGATAAAACATAAGAACAAGGGGTAGATGGTTTCGACGCTCACCAAGACATCCAAATGTATTCACTTAACACTATGTGTATTTAAACTTCCATATGTATTCATTGTTGCTTCTAGATAATGTATGATGTATGGGCGTTTCTAAGGAATCGCAATATAATATACAGCAGAGACACACATACCGTTGAAGGAGTAACAGTCTTCAAATCCCTGTGGTTTCTCGTCTCTACCGTTGGAAGGGTGTGTACTCTTGTGCCATCACCAATAAGGTTTTGGTCAGCAGCTTGCAACTTTTCCACAGCAGATCGCGTTCTCTCTTCTTCTTCATCGGAATCCCAATCCAAGGATATCAGCTCTTGTCTTGAACGTTTGATTGGAGAATCTTCCTGATCATCCAAGTCTTCGCGCTGCCTTTTGGAGGGGAAAAGTGAACGTCTGGCAAGGGATCCACACAAAGAAACTGGGCTCCCATCAGAGGAACACTGAAAAAGAATAAATGAATATTCAGCAAAGGCACACAATTTACCAGACAAGATGAAAAGACACATAGGCAGAATCGTTTTGGATTTGTGACATCGATTTATGTATGCCAGGAACTAGCTAGAATGCATTCAACTATTAAAGAGCAGGATTACCAACCTCTGATAATGAGTCGGGCGATCCCAAACCACTGTCACTTGATTCGGAGTCGCTGTTTCTCCAGGCACATGGGCTGTCAAAGAGCAAGGTCTTTAGGTCAGTAAAGCTGATATCAGCCTCGGCTATATGAGCCATTGTAAAACACGGGGAAGACATACTACTTGTATTGGAGGAATGGAGAATAAAAATCAATGCAACTAGTAGATAAACGCTGGATGTAATGATCAATCTCCCGAGCTCGCTTGCTTATAAGCTGTTTCTTAATGAAGCCAGAGATGTCCTCTTGATTGGATTAGTGTGAGCTTATTTCACAGTGAGGTGACGGGTTGAGTGACTGAGGCCAAGTCAGCGGTGATTCAATTAAAGCTTAAAACAACACGCTTTTGTAGGCGTGACTGTATACACTGATCTATAGGTCAAATTTAATGACGACGTTGATATAGGAAACATGTTCTACTTAGCCCCTTTTATCTTAGTTCAATGCAACGTCCCTATACCAAGTAATTGGCAACTGCATTTCTACGTATGGCTTCACATACAATAACAAAACGCAATTGTGTCCCACTTGCTTGGATGTCTTGATGTGTGCATTCAAAACTTGGCCTCAACGATACCTTACTTTTGCATGTAAAGTCGACCATACACTGGTCATCCTGAATAACATGCGAGTATGATAGAACATGTTGCGAACCTCTGTTCAATATATGTGCAAGTTTAATATATGTGTAAGTTAAATATATGTGTAAGTTAAATATATGTATAAGTTTGTATTGAATAGAAAGTATTGTTACTTGGACAGCAACTGTCTATAGGTATGTGCTCTGTCATCACTTCTGACAGCACAAAGTTGTCAACACACAAGAAAATAATGAGTTGTCGCATTACCTTACATGTGTAAGTTTAACATATGTGTAAGTTTAATACATGTCTAAGTTAAATATATGTGTAAGTTTGTATTGAATAGAAAGTAGTGTTACTTGGACAGCAACTGTCTATAGGTATGTGCTCTGTCATCACTTCTGACAGCACAAAGTTGTCAACACACAAGAAAATAATGAGTTGTCGCAGTATACGTCAGAACATTAATAGAAACGAAATAGTCTTGCAATTTGTTTTATTGAAAACTGGCCATAAATATCAACGCCATACATAAGGGTAACATTCTTTGAAAATGGTATTATAACAGTAACAATCGTCAACAACCACTTGATATACAAATGCATGAGCAGAAGAATAACAATGTCGCTTTGCAATTTGTTTCATTCAAAACAATAAATGAATCGTCCCAAACATCGTAACATACTAACATTGTAACAACATCACAAGAGTGACAATCAACAAGAAAACATATCAGCTGCACCAGTCGTGTAAGAATATAACATCCAGCAAAGAGCACAACACCTCGGTTTAAAACTGCAGACAAACCATAAGATGAGACTCTGTATGACATTGCTGATCGAAAGATGGAGAAGACATGCTTCTGACACTCATCCTTTGCCTACTTCTTCCCATCTTTTTCTGGCCTGCTGTCCCCGACTTGGATCGTGCCCGAAACTGCTTCAAATCGTCCACGTGATCAGCGTGCAGCATGGGAACGTAGGTCTGGGGTTCACACATATCCTGCAAGGAAACATACAAGAGAAATTACAAATCTATCTTGAAGAAAGTCAGTTGTGTTAGTCTCCGCCCAAAATGGAAAGCATATGAAGAGTGGGCTACAATACATTGTCCATGGGAATGTAGTATATTATACAAGCAGACACCCTACCTTGTGCTCACTAAAGAAAGCCTTGTATCCAGATTGCAGAAGGTAGACCTCGGGATAATACAGCTCTGGGTAACGGTGACTGTTGGCTTGTCTGTCTTCGCTTCTCAAGTGACGCATCCTGTAGAAAGAGAACATGAACATTTGAATAAAGTCTATGGTGACTGAGGGACGATATCGTATATCTCGGAAAATCTTACGTTTGAAGAGCTTACATTAGGCGAAAAATAGTATATCCAATAACAGAAGTAATGTAATATGACTGCTAAACAACTTACATTTTAGGACCTCTTTCGGATGAGAACTCACAATGGAATATCAAAACTGTCGGTTGGCTAGCAGGGCGTTTAATAAGCTCTGAAATGCCTTCCTCTGTGTATATATTGGCGGCACCTTGGATATGTCCTCCCTCAAATTCGTAGGGGTACCTGCAGTCAACGATCTGATACTCGCTAATCTCGGGAAAGCGCCCTTTCATTAGTAGCTGAACCTGAAAATATGCAAGAAGATAAAACATAAGAACAAGGGGTAGATGGTTTCGACGCTCACCAAGACATCCAAATGTATTCACTTAACACTATGTGTATTTAAACTTCCATATGTATTCATTGTTGCTTCTAGATAATGTATGATGTGTGGGCGTTTCTAAGGAATCGCAATATAATATACAGCAGAGACACACATACCGTTGAAGGAGTAACAGTCTTCAAATCCCTGTGGTTTCTCGTCTCTACCGTTGGAAGGGTGTGTACTCTTGTGCCATCACCAATAAGGTTTTGGTCAGCAGCTTGCAACTTTTCCACAGCAGATCGCGTTCTCTCTTCTTCTTCATCGGAATCCCAATCCAAGGATATCAGCTCTTGTCTTGAACGTTTGATTGGAGAATCTTCCTGATCATCCAAGTCTTCGCGCTGCCTTTTGAGGGAAAAGTGAACGTCTGGCAAGGGATCCACACAAAGAAACTGGGCTCCCATCAGAGGAACACTGAAAAAGAATAAATGAATATTCAGCAAAGGCACACAATTTACCAGACAAGATGAAAAGACACATAGGCAGAATCGTTTTGGATTTGTGACATCGATTTATGTATGCCAGGAACTAGCTAGAATGCATTCAACTATTAAAGAGCAGGATTACCAACCTCTGATAATGAGTCGGGCGATCCCAAACCACTGTCACTTGATTCGGAGTCGCTGTTTCTCCAGGCACATGGGCTGTCAAAGAGCAAGGTCTTTAGGTCAGTAAAGCTGATATCAGCCTCGGCTATATGAGCCATTGTAAAACACGGGGAAGACATACTACTTGTATTGGAGGAATGGAGAATAAAAATCAATGCAACTAGTAGATAAACGCTGGATGTAATGATCAATCTCCCGAGCTCGCTTGCTTATAAGCTGTTTCTTAATGAAGCCAGAGATGTCCTCTTGATTGGATTAGTGTGAGCTTATTTCACAGTGAGGTGACGGGTTGAGTGACTGAGGCCAAGTCAGCGGTGATTCAATTAAAGCTTAAAACAACACGCTTTTGTAGGCGTGACTGTATACACTGATCTATAGGTCAAATTTAATGACGACGTTGATATAGGAAACATGTTCTACTTAGCCCCTTTTATCTTAGTTCAATGCAACGTCCCTATACCAAGTAATTGGCAACTGCATTTCTACGTATGGCTTCACATACAATAACAAAACGCAATTGTGTCCCACTTGCTTGGATGTCTTGATGTGTGCATTCAAAACTTGGCCTCAACGATACCTTACTTTTGCATGTAAAGTCGACCATACACTGGTCATCCTGAATAACATGCGAGTATGATAGAACATGTTGCGAACCTCTGTTCAATATATGTGCAAGTTTAATATATGTGTAAGTTAAATATATGTGTAAGTTAAATATATGTATAAGTTTGTATTGAATAGAAAGTATTGTTACTTGGACAGCAACTGTCTATAGGTATGTGCTCTGTCATCACTTCTGACAGCACAAAGTTGTCAACACACAAGAAAATAATGAGTTGTCGCATTACCTTACATGTGTAAGTTTAACATATGTGTAAGTTTAATACATGTCTAAGTTAAATATATGTGTAAGTTTGTATTGAATAGAAAGTAGTGTTACTTGGACAGCAACTGTCTATAGGTATGTGCTCTGTCATCACTTCTGACAGCACAAAGTTGTCAACACACAAGAAAATAATGAGTTGTCGCAGTATACGTCAGAACATTAATAGAAACGAAATAGTCTTGCAATTTGTTTTATTGAAAACTGGCCATAAATATCAACGCCATACATAAGGGTAACATTCTTTGAAAATGGTATTATAACAGTAACAATCGTCAACAACCACTTGATATACAAATGCATGAGCAGAAGAATAACAATGTCGCTTTGCAATTTGTTTCATTCAAAACAATAAATGAATCGTCCCAAACATCGTAACATACTAACATTGTAACAACATCACAAGAGTGACAATCAACAAGAAAACATATCAGCTGCACCAGTCGTGTAAGAATATAACATCCAGCAAAGAGCACAACACCTCGGTTTAAAACTGCAGACAAACCATAAGATGAGACTCTGTATGACATTGCTGATCGAAAGATGGAGAAGACATGCTTCTGACACTCATCCTTTGCCTACTTCTTCCCATCTTTTTCTGGCCTGCTGTCCCCGACTTGGATCGTGCCCGAAACTGCTTCAAATCGTCCACGTGATCAGCGTGCAGCATGGGAACGTAGGTCTGGGGTTCACACATATCCTGCAAGGAAACATACAAGAGAAATTACAAATCTATCTTGAAGAAAGTCAGTTGTGTTAGTCTCCGCCCAAAATGGAAAGCATATGAAGAGTGGGCTACAATACATTGTCCATGGGAATGTAGTATATTATACAAGCAGACACCCTACCTTGTGCTCACTAAAGAAAGCCTTGTATCCAGATTGCAGAAGGTAGACCTCGGGATAATACAGCTCTGGGTAACGGTGACTGTTGGCTTGTCTGTCTTCGCTTCTCAAGTGACGCATCCTGTAGAAAGAGAACATGAACATTTGAATAAAGTCTATGGTGACTGAGGGACGATATCGTATATCTCGGAAAATCTTACGTTTGAAGAGCTTACATTAGGCGAAAAATAGTATATCCAATAACAGAAGTAATGTAATATGACTGCTAAACAACTTACATTTTAGGACCTCTTTCGGATGAGAACTCACAATGGAATATCAAAACTGTCGGTTGGCTAGCAGGGCGTTTAATAAGCTCTGAAATGCCTTCCTCTGTGTATATATTGGCGGCACCTTGGATATGTCCTCCCTCAAATTCGTAGGGGTACCTGCAGTCAACGATCTGATACTCGCTAATCTCGGGAAAGCGCCCTTTCATTAGTAGCTGAACCTGAAAATATGCAAGAAGATAAAACATAAGAACAAAGGGTAGATGGTTTCGACGCTCACCAAGACATCCAAATGTATTCACTTAACACTATGTGTATTTAAACTTCCATATGTATTCATTGTTGCTTCTAGATAATGTATGATGTATGGGCGTTTCTAAGGAATCGCAATATAATATACAGCAGAGACACACATACCGTTGAAGGAGTAACAGTCTTCAAATCCCTGTGGTTTCTCGTCTCTACCGTTGGAAGGGTGTGTACTCTTGTGCCATCACCAATAAGGTTTTGGTCAGCAGCTTGCAACTTTTCCACAGCAGATCGCGTTCTCTCTTCTTCTTCATCGGAATCCCAATCCAAGGATATCAGCTCTTGTCTTGAACGTTTGATTGGAGAATCTTCCTGATCATCCAAGTCTTCGCGCTGCCTTTTGAGAGGAAAAGTGAACGTCTGGCAAGGGATCCACACAAAGAAACTGGGCTCCCATCAGAGGAACACTGAAAAAGAATAAATGAATATTCAGCAAAGGCACACAATTTACCAGACAAGATGAAAAGACACATAGGCAGAATCGTTTTGGATTTGTGACATCGATTTATGTATGCCAGGAACTAGCTAGAATGCATTCAACTATTAAAGAGCAGGATTACCAACCTCTGATAATGAGTCGGGCGATCCCAAACCACTGTCACTTGATTCGGAGTCGCTGTTTCTCCAGGCACATGGGCTGTCAAAGAGCAAGGTCTTTAGGTCAGTAAAGCTGATATCAGCCTCGGCTATATGAGCCATTGTAAAACACGGGGAAGACATACTACTTGTATTGGAGGAATGGAGAATAAAAATCAATGCAACTAGTAGATAAACGCTGGATGTAATGATCAATCTCCCGAGCTCGCTTGCTTATAAGCTGTTTCTTAATGAAGCCAGAGATGTCCTCTTGATTGGATTAGTGTGAGCTTATTTCACAGTGAGGTGACGGGTTGAGTGACTGAGGCCAAGTCAGCGGTGATTCAATTAAAGCTTAAAACAACACGCTTTTGTAGGCGTGACTGTATACACTGATCTATAGGTCAAATTTAATGACGACGTTGATATAGGAAACATGTTCTACTTAGCCCCTTTTATCTTAGTTCAATGCAACGTCCCTATACCAAGTAATTGGCAACTGCATTTCTACGTATGGCTTCACATACAATAACAAAACGCAATTGTGTCCCACTTGCTTGGATGTCTTGATGTGTGCATTCAAAACTTGGCCTCAACGATACCTTACTTTTGCATGTAAAGTCGACCATACACTGGTCATCCTGAATAACATGCGAGTATGATAGAACATGTTGCGAACCTCTGTTCAATATATGTGCAAGTTTAATATATGTGTAAGTTAAATATATGTGTAAGTTAAATATATGTATAAGTTTGTATTGAATAGAAAGTATTGTTACTTGGACAGCAACTGTCTATAGGTATGTGCTCTGTCATCACTTCTGACAGCACAAAGTTGTCAACACACAAGAAAATAATGAGTTGTCGCATTACCTTACATGTGTAAGTTTAACATATGTGTAAGTTTAATACATGTCTAAGTTAAATATATGTGTAAGTTTGTATTGAATAGAAAGTAGTGTTACTTGGACAGCAACTGTCTATAGGTATGTGCTCTGTCATCACTTCTGACAGCACAAAGTTGTCAACACACAAGAAAATAATGAGTTGTCGCAGTATACGTCAGAACATTAATAGAAACGAAATAGTCTTGCAATTTGTTTTATTGAAAACTGGCCATAAATATCAACGCCATACATAAGGGTAACATTCTTTGAAAATGGTATTATAACAGTAACAATCGTCAACAACCACTTGATATACAAATGCATGAGCAGAAGAATAACAATGTCGCTTTGCAATTTGTTTCATTCAAAACAATAAATGAATCGTCCCAAACATCGTAACATACTAACATTGTAACAACATCACAAGAGTGACAATCAACAAGAAAACATATCAGCTGCACCAGTCGTGTAAGAATATAACATCCAGCAAAGAGCACAACACCTCGGTTTAAAACTGCAGACAAACCATAAGATGAGACTCTGTATGACATTGCTGATCGAAAGATGGAGAAGACATGCTTCTGACACTCATCCTTTGCCTACTTCTTCCCATCTTTTTCTGGCCTGCTGTCCCCGACTTGGATCGTGCCCGAAACTGCTTCAAATCGTCCACGTGATCAGCGTGCAGCATGGGAACGTAGGTCTGGGGTTCACACATATCCTGCAAGGAAACATACAAGAGAAATTACAAATCTATCTTGAAGAAAGTCAGTTGTGTTAGTCTCCGCCCAAAATGGAAAGCATATGAAGAGTGGGCTACAATACATTGTCCATGGGAATGTAGTATATTATACAAGCAGACACCCTACCTTGTGCTCACTAAAGAAAGCCTTGTATCCAGATTGCAGAAGGTAGACCTCGGGATAATACAGCTCTGGGTAACGGTGACTGTTGGCTTGTCTGTCTTCGCTTCTCAAGTGACGCATCCTGTAGAAAGAGAACATGAACATTTGAATAAAGTCTATGGTGACTGAGGGACGATATCGTATATCTCGGAAAATCTTACGTTTGAAGAGCTTACATTAGGCGAAAAATAGTATATCCAATAACAGAAGTAATGTAATATGACTGCTAAACAACTTACATTTTAGGACCTCTTTCGGATGAGAACTCACAATGGAATATCAAAACTGTCGGTTGGCTAGCAGGGCGTTTAATAAGCTCTGAAATGCCTTCCTCTGTGTATATATTGGCGGCACCTTGGATATGTCCTCCCTCAAATTCGTAGGGGTACCTGCAGTCAACGATCTGATACTCGCTAATCTCGGGAAAGCGCCCTTTCATTAGTAGCTGAACCTGAAAATATGCAAGAAGATAAAACATAAGAACAAGGGGTAGATGGTTTCGACGCTCACCAAGACATCCAAATGTATTCACTTAACACTATGTGTATTTAAACTTCCATATGTATTCATTGTTGCTTCTAGATAATGTATGATGTATGGGCGTTTCTAAGGAATCGCAATATAATATACAGCAGAGACACACATACCGTTGAAGGAGTAACAGTCTTCAAATCCCTGTGGTTTCTCGTCTCTACCGTTGGAAGGGTGTGTACTCTTGTGCCATCACCAATAAGGTTTTGGTCAGCAGCTTGCAACTTTTCCACAGCAGATCGCGTTCTCTCTTCTTCTTCATCGGAATCCCAATCCAAGGATATCAGCTCTTGTCTTGAACGTTTGATTGGAGAATCTTCCTGATCATCCAAGTCTTCGCGCTGCCTTTTGGAGGGGAAAAGTGAACGTCTGGCAAGGGATCCACACAAAGAAACTGGGCTCCCATCAGAGGAACACTGAAAAAGAATAAATGAATATTCAGCAAAGGCACACAATTTACCAGACAAGATGAAAAGACACATAGGCAGAATCGTTTTGGATTTGTGACATCGATTTATGTATGCCAGGAACTAGCTAGAATGCATTCAACTATTAAAGAGCAGGATTACCAACCTCTGATAATGAGTCGGGCGATCCCAAACCACTGTCACTTGATTCGGAGTCGCTGTTTCTCCAGGCACATGGGCTGTCAAAGAGCAAGGTCTTTAGGTCAGTAAAGCTGATATCAGCCTCGGCTATATGAGCCATTGTAAAACACGGGGAAGACATACTACTTGTATTGGAGGAATGGAGAATAAAATCAATGCAACTAGTAGATAAACGCTGGATGTAATGATCAATCTCCCGAGCTCGCTTGCTTATAAGCTGTTTCTTAATGAAGCCAGAGATGTCCTCTTGATTGGATTAGTGTGAGCTTATTTCACAGTGAGGTGACGGGTTGAGTGACTGAGGCCAAGTCAGCGGTGATTCAATTAAAGCTTAAAACAACACGCTTTTGTAGGCGTGACTGTATACACTGATCTATAGGTCAAATTTAATGACGACGTTGATATAGGAAACATGTTCTACTTAGCCCCTTTTATCTTAGTTCAATGCAACGTCCCTATACCAAGTAATTGGCAACTGCATTTCTACGTATGGCTTCACATACAATAACAAAACGCAATTGTGTCCCACTTGCTTGGATGTCTTGATGTGTGCATTCAAAACTTGGCCTCAACGATACCTTACTTTTGCATGTAAAGTCGACCATACACTGGTCATCCTGAATAACATGCGAGTATGATAGAACATGTTGCGAACCTCTGTTCAATATATGTGCAAGTTTAATATATGTGTAAGTTAAATATATGTGTAAGTTAAATATATGTATAAGTTTGTATTGAATAGAAAGTATTGTTACTTGGACAGCAACTGTCTATAGGTATGTGCTCTGTCATCACTTCTGACAGCACAAAGTTGTCAACACACAAGAAAATAATGAGTTGTCGCATTACCTTACATGTGTAAGTTTAACATATGTGTAAGTTTAATACATGTCTAAGTTAAATATATGTGTAAGTTTGTATTGAATAGAAAGTAGTGTTACTTGGACAGCAACTGTCTATAGGTATGTGCTCTGTCATCACTTCTGACAGCACAAAGTTGTCAACAACACACAAGAAAATAATGAGTTGTCGCAGTATACGTCAGAACATTAATAGAAACGAAATAGTCTTGCAATTTGTTTTATTGAAAACTGGCCATAAATATCAACGCCATACATAAGGGTAACATTCTTTGAAAATGGTATTATAACAGTAACAATCGTCAACAACCACTTGATATACAAATGCATGAGCAGAAGAATAACAATGTCGCTTTGCAATTTGTTTCATTCAAAACAATAAATGAATCGTCCCAAACATCGTAACATACTAACATTGTAACAACATCACAAGAGTGACAATCAACAAGAAAACATATCAGCTGCACCAGTCGTGTAAGAATATAACATCCAGCAAAGAGCACAACACCTCGGTTTAAAACTGCAGACAAACCATAAGATGAGACTCTGTATGACATTGCTGATCGAAAGATGGAGAAGACATGCTTCTGACACTCATCCTTTGCCTACTTCTTCCCATCTTTTTCTGGCCTGCTGTCCCCGACTTGGATCGTGCCCGAAACTGCTTCAAATCGTCCACGTGATCAGCGTGCAGCATGGGAACGTAGGTCTGGGGTTCACACATATCCTGCAAGGAAACATACAAGAGAAATTACAAATCTATCTTGAAGAAAGTCAGTTGTGTTAGTCTCCGCCCAAAATGGAAAGCATATGAAGAGTGGGCTACAATACATTGTCCATGGGAATGTAGTATATTATACAAGCAGACACCCTACCTTGTGCTCACTAAAGAAAGCCTTGTATCCAGATTGCAGAAGGTAGACCTCGGGATAATACAGCTCTGGGTAACGGTGACTGTTGGCTTGTCTGTCTTCGCTTCTCAAGTGACGCATCCTGTAGAAAGAGAACATGAACATTTGAATAAAGTCTATGGTGACTGAGGGACGATATCGTATATCTCGGAAAATCTTACGTTTGAAGAGCTTACATTAGGCGAAAAATAGTATATCCAATAACAGAAGTAATGTAATATGACTGCTAAACAACTTACATTTTAGGACCTCTTTCGGATGAGAACTCACAATGGAATATCAAAACTGTCGGTTGGCTAGCAGGGCGTTTAATAAGCTCTGAAATGCCTTCCTCTGTGTATATATTGGCGGCACCTTGGATATGTCCTCCCTCAAATTCGTAGGGGTACCTGCAGTCAACGATCTGATACTCGCTAATCTCGGGAAAGCGCCCTTTCATTAGTAGCTGAACCTGAAAATATGCAAGAAGATAAAACATAAGAACAAAGGGGTAGATGGTTTCGACGCTCACCAAGACATCCAAATGTATTCACTTAACACTATGTGTATTTAAACTTCCATATGTATTCATTGTTGCTTCTAGATAATGTATGATGTATGGGCGTTTCTAAGGAATCGCAATATAATATACAGCAGAGACACACATACCGTTGAAGGAGTAACAGTCTTCAAATCCCTGTGGTTTCTCGTCTCTACCGTTGGAAGGGTGTGTACTCTTGTGCCATCACCAATAAGGTTTTGGTCAGCAGCTTGCAACTTTTCCACAGCAGATCGCGTTCTCTCTTCTTCTTCATCGGAATCCCAATCCAAGGATATCAGCTCTTGTCTTGAACGTTTGATTGGAGAATCTTCCTGATCATCCAAGTCTTCGCGCTGCCTTTTGGAGGGGAAAAGTGAACGTCTGGCAAGGGATCCACACAAAGAAACTGGGCTCCCATCAGAGGAACACTGAAAAAGAATAAATGAATATTCAGCAAAGGCACACAATTTACCAGACAAGATGAAAAGACACATAGGCAGAATCGTTTTGGATTTGTGACATCGATTTATGTATGCCAGGAACTAGCTAGAATGCATTCAACTATTAAAGAGCAGGATTACCAACCTCTGATAATGAGTCGGGCGATCCCAAACCACTGTCACTTGATTCGGAGTCGCTGTTTCTCCAGGCACATGGGCTGTCAAAGAGCAAGGTCTTTAGGTCAGTAAAGCTGATATCAGCCTCGGCTATATGAGCCATTGTAAAACACGGGGAAGACATACTACTTGTATTGGAGGAATGGAGAATAAAAATCAATGCAACTAGTAGATAAACGCTGGATGTAATGATCAATCTCCGAGCTCGCTTGCTTATAAGCTGTTTCTTAATGAAGCCAGAGATGTCCTCTTGATTGGATTAGTGTGAGCTTATTTCACAGTGAGGTGACGGGTTGAGTGACTGAGGCCAAGTCAGCGGTGATTCAATTAAAGCTTAAAACAACACGCTTTTGTAGGCGTGACTGTATACACTGATCTATAGGTCAAATTTAATGACGACGTTGATATAGGAAACATGTTCTACTTAGCCCCTTTTATCTTAGTTCAATGCAACGTCCCTATACCAAGTAATTGGCAACTGCATTTCTACGTATGGCTTCACATACAATAACAAAACGCAATTGTGTCCCACTTGCTTGGATGTCTTGATGTGTGCATTCAAAACTTGGCCTCAACGATACCTTACTTTTGCATGTAAAGTCGACCATACACTGGTCATCCTGAATAACATGCGAGTATGATAGAACATGTTGCGAACCTCTGTTCAATATATGTGCAAGTTTAATATATGTGTAAGTTAAATATATGTGTAAGTTAAATATATGTATAAGTTTGTATTGAATAGAAAGTATTGTTACTTGGACAGCAACTGTCTATAGGTATGTGCTCTGTCATCACTTCTGACAGCACAAAGTTGTCAACACACAAGAAAATAATGAGTTGTCGCATTACCTTACATGTGTAAGTTTAACATATGTGTAAGTTTAATACATGTCTAAGTTAAATATATGTGTAAGTTTGTATTGAATAGAAAGTAGTGTTACTTGGACAGCAACTGTCTATAGGTATGTGCTCTGTCATCACTTCTGACAGCACAAAGTTGTCAACACACAAGAAAATAATGAGTTGTCGCAGTATACGTCAGAACATTAATAGAAACGAAATAGTCTTGCAATTTGTTTTATTGAAAACTGGCCATAAATATCAACGCCATACATAAGGGTAACATTCTTTGAAAATGGTATTATAACAGTAACAATCGTCAACAACCACTTGATATACAAATGCATGAGCAGAAGAATAACAATGTCGCTTTGCAATTTGTTTCATTCAAAACAATAAATGAATCGTCCCAAACATCGTAACATACTAACATTGTAACAACATCACAAGAGTGACAATCAACAAGAAAACATATCAGCTGCACCAGTCGTGTAAGAATATAACATCCAGCAAAGAGCACAACACCTCGGTTTAAAACTGCAGACAAACCATAAGATGAGACTCTGTATGACATTGCTGATCGAAAGATGGAGAAGACATGCTTCTGACACTCATCCTTTGCCTACTTCTTCCCATCTTTTTCTGGCCTGCTGTCCCCGACTTGGATCGTGCCCGAAACTGCTTCAAATCGTCCACGTGATCAGCGTGCAGCATGGGAACGTAGGTCTGGGGTTCACACATATCCTGCAAGGAAACATACAAGAGAAATTACAAATCTATCTTGAAGAAAGTCAGTTGTGTTAGTCTCCGCCCAAAATGGAAAGCATATGAAGAGTGGGCTACAATACATTGTCCATGGGAATGTAGTATATTATACAAGCAGACACCCTACCTTGTGCTCACTAAAGAAAGCCTTGTATCCAGATTGCAGAAGGTAGACCTCGGGATAATACAGCTCTGGGTAACGGTGACTGTTGGCTTGTCTGTCTTCGCTTCTCAAGTGACGCATCCTGTAGAAAGAGAACATGAACATTTGAATAAAGTCTATGGTGACTGAGGGACGATATCGTATATCTCGGAAAATCTTACGTTTGAAGAGCTTACATTAGGCGAAAAATAGTATATCCAATAACAGAAGTAATGTAATATGACTGCTAAACAACTTACATTTTAGGACCTCTTTCGGATGAGAACTCACAATGGAATATCAAAACTGTCGGTTGGCTAGCAGGGCGTTTAATAAGCTCTGAAATGCCTTCCTCTGTGTATATATTGGCGGCACCTTGGATATGTCCTCCCTCAAATTCGTAGGGGTACCTGCAGTCAACGATCTGATACTCGCTAATCTCGGAAAGCGCCCTTTCATTAGTAGCTGAACCTGAAAATATGCAAGAAGATAAAACATAAGAACAAGGGGTAGATGGTTTCGACGCTCACCAAGACATCCAAATGTATTCACTTAACACTATGTGTATTTAAACTTCCATATGTATTCATTGTTGCTTCTAGATAATGTATGATGTATGGGCGTTTCTAAGGAATCGCAATATAATATACAGCAGAGACACACATACCGTTGAAGGAGTAACAGTCTTCAAATCCCTGTGGTTTCTCGTCTCTACCGTTGGAAGGGTGTGTACTCTTGTGCCATCACCAATAAGGTTTTGGTCAGCAGCTTGCAACTTTTCCACAGCAGATCGCGTTCTCTCTTCTTCTTCATCGGAATCCCAATCCAAGGATATCAGCTCTTGTCTTGAACGTTTGATTGGAGAATCTTCCTGATCATCCAAGTCTTCGCGCTGCCTTTGGAGGGAAAAGTGAACGTCTGGCAAGGGATCCACACAAAGAAACTGGGCTCCCATCAGAGGAACACTGAAAAAGAATAAATGAATATTCAGCAAAGGCACACAATTTACCAGACAAGATGAAAAGACACATAGGCAGAATCGTTTTGGATTTGTGACATCGATTTATGTATGCCAGGAACTAGCTAGAATGCATTCAACTATTAAAGAGCAGGATTACCAACCTCTGATAATGAGTCGGGCGATCCCAAACCACTGTCACTTGATTCGGAGTCGCTGTTTCTCCAGGCACATGGGCTGTCAAAGAGCAAGGTCTTTAGGTCAGTAAAGCTGATATCAGCCTCGGCTATATGAGCCATTGTAAAACACGGGAAGACATACTACTTGTATTGGAGGAATGGAGAATAAAAATCAATGCAACTAGTAGATAAACGCTGGATGTAATGATCAATCTCCCGAGCTCGCTTGCTTATAAGCTGTTTCTTAATGAAGCCAGAGATGTCCTCTTGATTGGATTAGTGTGAGCTTATTTCACAGTGAGGTGACGGGTTGAGTGACTGAGGCCAAGTCAGCGGTGATTCAATTAAAGCTTAAAACAACACGCTTTTGTAGGCGTGACTGTATACACTGATCTATAGGTCAAATTTAATGACGACGTTGATATAGGAAACATGTTCTACTTAGCCCCTTTTATCTTAGTTCAATGCAACGTCCCTATACCAAGTAATTGGCAACTGCATTTCTACGTATGGCTTCACATACAATAACAAAACGCAATTGTGTCCCACTTGCTTGGATGTCTTGATGTGTGCATTCAAAACTTGGCCTCAACGATACCTTACTTTTGCATGTAAAGTCGACCATACACTGGTCATCCTGAATAACATGCGAGTATGATAGAACATGTTGCGAACCTCTGTTCAATATATGCAAGTTTAGCATATGTGTAAGTTAAATATATGTGTAAGTTAAATATATGTGTAAGTTAAATATATGTATAAGTTTGTATTGAATAGAAAGTATTGTTACTTGGACAGCAACTGTCTATAGGTATGTGCTCTGTCATCACTTCTGACAGCACAAAGTTGTCAACACACAAGAAAATAATGAGTTGTCGCAGTATACGTCAGAACATTAATAGAAACGAAATAGTCTTGCAATTTGTTTTATTGAAAACTGGCCATAAATATCAACGCCATACATAAGGGTAACATTCTTTGAAAATGGTATTATAACAGTAACAATCGTCAACAACCACTTGATATACAAATGCATGAGCAGAAGAATAACAATGTCGCTTTGCAATTTGTTTCATTCAAAACAATAAATGAATCGTCCCAAACATCGTAACATACTAACATTGTAACAACATCACAAGAGTGACAATCAACAAGAAAACATATCAGCTGCACCAGTCGTGTAAGAATATAACATCCAGCAAAGAGCACAACACCTCGGTTTAAAACTGCAGACAAACCATAAGATGAGACTCTGTATGACATTGCTGATCGAAAGATGGAGAAGACATGCTTCTGACACTCATCCTTTGCCTACTTCTTCCCATCTTTTTCTGGCCTGCTGTCCCCGACTTGGATCGTGCCCGAAACTGCTTCAAATCGTCCACGTGATCAGCGTGCAGCATGGGAACGTAGGTCTGGGGTTCACACATATCCTGCAAGGAAACATACAAGAGAAATTACAAATCTATCTTGAAGAAAGTCAGTTGTGTTAGTCTCCGCCCAAAATGGAAAGCATATGAAGAGTGGGCTACAATACATTGTCCATGGGAATGTAGTATATTATACAAGCAGACACCCTACCTTGTGCTCACTAAAGAAAGCCTTGTATCCAGATTGCAGAAGGTAGACCTCGGGGATAATACAGCTCTGGGTAACGGTGACTGTTGGCTTGTCTGTCTTCGCTTCTCAAGTGACGCATCCTGTAGAAAGAGAACATGAACATTTGAATAAAGTCTATGGTGACTGAGGGACGATATCGTATATCTCGGAAAATCTTACGTTTGAAGAGCTTACATTAGGCGAAAAATAGTATATCCAATAACAGAAGTAATGTAATATGACTGCTAAACAACTTACATTTTAGGACCTCTTTCGGATGAGAACTCACAATGGAATATCAAAACTGTCGGTTGGCTAGCAGGGCGTTTAATAAGCTCTGAAATGCCTTTCTCTGTGTATATATTGGCGGCACCTTGGATATGTCCTCCCTCAAATTCGTAGGGGTACCTGCAGTCAACGATCTGATACTCGCTAATCTCGGAAAGCGCCCTTTCATTAGTAGCTGAACCTGAAAATATGCAAGAAGATAAAACATAAGAACAAGGGGTAGATGGTTTCGACGCTCACCAAGACATCCAAATGTATTCACTTAACACTATGTGTATTTTAACTTCCATATGTATTCATTGTTGCTTCTAGATAATGTATGATGTATGGGCGTTTCTAAGGAATCGCAATATAATATACAGCAGAGACACACATACCGTTGAAGGAGTAACAGTCTTCAAATCCCTGTGGTTTCTCGTCTCTACCGTTGGAAGGGTGTGTACTCTTGTGCCATCACCAATAAGGTTTTGGTCAGCAGCTTGCAACTTTTCCACAGCAGATCGCGTTCTCTCTTCTTCTTCATCGGAATCCCAATCCAAGGATATCAGCTCTTGTCTTGAACGTTTGATTGGAGAATCTTCCTGATCATCCAAGTCTTCGCGCTGCCTTTTGGAGGGGAAAAGTGAACGTCTGGCAAGGGATCCACACAAAGAAACTGGGCTCCCATCAGAGGAACACTGAAAAAAATAAATGAATATTCAGCAAAGGCACACAATTTACCAGACAAGATGAAAAGACACATAGGCAGAATCGTTTTGGATTTGTGACATCGATTTATGTATGCCAGGAACTAGCTAGAATGCATTCAACTATTAAAGAGCAGGATTACCAACCTCTGATAATGAGTCGGGCGATCCCAAACCACTGTCACTTGATTCGGAGTCGCTGTTTCTCCAGGCACATGGGCTGTCAAAGAGCAAGGTCTTTAGGTCAGTAAAGCTGATATCAGCCTCGGCTATATGAGCCATTGTAAAACACGGGGAAGACATACTACTTGTATTGGAGGAATGGAGAATAAAAATCAATGCAACTAGTAGATAAACGCTGGATGTAATGATCAATCTCCCGAGCTCGCTTGCTTATAAGCTGTTTCTTAATGAAGCCAGAGATGTCCTCTTGATTGGATTAGTGTGAGCTTATTTCACAGTGAGGTGACGGGTTGAGTGACTGAGGCCAAGTCAGCGGTGATTCAATTAAAGCTTAAAACAACACGCTTTTGTAGGCGTGACTGTATACACTGATCTATAGGTCAAATTTAATGACGACGTTGATATAGGAAACATGTTCTACTTAGCCCCTTTATCTTAGTTCAATGCAACGTCCCTATACCAAGTAATTGGCAACTGCATTTCTACGTATGGCTTCACATACAATAACAAAACGCAATTGTGTCCCACTTGCTTGGATGTCTTGATGTGTGCATTCAAAACTTGGCCTCAACGATACCTTACTTTTGCATGTAAAGTTTACCATACACTGGTCATCCTGAATAACATGCGAGTATGATAGAACATGTTGCGAACCTCTGTTCAATATATGTGCAAGTTTAATATATGTGTAAGTTAAATATATGTGTAAGTTAAATATATGTATAAGTTTGTATTGAATAGAAAGTATTGTTACTTGGACAGCAACTGTCTATAGGTATGTGCTCTGTTATCACTTCTGACAGCACAAAGTTGTCAACACACAAGAAAATAATGAGTTGTCGCATTACCTTACATGTGTAAGTTTAACATATGTGTAAGTTTAATACATGTCTAAGTTAAATATATATGTAAGTTTGTATTGAATAGAAAGTAGTGTTACTTGGACAGCAACTGTCTGTAGGTATGTGCTCTGTCATCACTTCTGACAGCACAAAGTTGTCAACACACAAGAAAATAATGAGTTGTCGCAGTATACGTCAGAACATTAATAGAAACGAAATAGTCTTGCAATTTGTTTTATTGAAAACTGGCCATAAATATCAACGCCATACATAAGGGTAACATTCTTTGAAAATGGTATTATAACAGTAACAATCGTCAACAACCACTTGATATACAAATGCATGAGCAGAAGAATAACAATGTCGCTTTGCAATTTGTTTCATTCAAAACAATACATGAATCGTCCCAAACATCGTAACATACTAACATTGTAACAACATCACAAGAGTGACAATCAACAAGAAAACATATCAGCTGCACCAGTCGTGTAAGAATATAACATCCAGCAAAGAGCACAACACCTCGGTTTAAAACTGCAGACAAACCATAAGATGAGACTCTGTATGACATTGCTGATCGAAAGATGGAGAAGACATGCTTCTGACACTCATCCTTTGCCTACTTCTTCCCATCTTTTTCTGGCCTGCTGTCCCCGACTTGGATCGTGCCCGAAACTTCTTCAAATCGTCCACGTGATCAGCGTGCAGCATGGGAACGTAGGTCTGGGGTTCACACATATCCTGCAAGGAAACATACAAGAGAAATTACAAATCTATCTTGAAGAAAGTCAGTTGTGTTAGTCTGCGCACAAAATTGAAAGCATATGAAGAGTGGGCTACAATACATTGTCCATAGGAATGTAGTATATTATACAAGCAGACACCCTACCTTGTGCTCACTAAAGAAAGCCTTGTATCCACATTGCAGAAGGTAGACCTCGGGATAATACAGCTCTGGGTAACGGTGACTGTTGGCTTGTCTGTCTTCGCTTCTCAAGTGACGCATCCTGTAGAAAGAGAACATGAACATTTGAATAAAGTCTATGGTGACTGAGGGACGATATCGTATATCTCGGAAAATCTTACGTTTGAAGAGCTTACATTAGGCGAAAAATAGTATATCCAATAACAGAAGTAATGTAATATGACTGCTAAACAACTTACATTTTAGGACCTCTTTCGGATGAGAACTCACAATGGAATATCAAAACTGTCGGTTGGCTAGCAGGGCGTTTAATAATAAGCTCTGAAATGCCTTTCTCTGTGTATATATTGGCGGCACCTTGGATATGTCCTCCCTCAAATTCGTAGGGGTACCTGCAGTCAACGATCTGATACTCGCTAATCTCGGGAAAGCGCCCTTTCATTAGTAGCTGAACCTGAAAATATGCAAGAAGATAAAACATAAGAACAAAGGGGTAGATGGTTTCGACGCTCACCAAGACATCCAAATGTATTCACTTAACACTATGTGTATTTTAACTTCCATATGTATTCATTGTTGCTTCTAGATAATGTATGATGTATGGGCGTTTCTAAGGAATCGCAATATAATATACAGCAGAGACACACATACCGTTGAAGGAGTAACAGTCTTCAAATCCCTGTGGTTTCTCGTCTCTACCGTTGGAAGGGTGTGTACTCTTGTGCCATCACCAATAAGGTTTTGGTCAGCAGCTTGCAACTTTTCCACAGCAGATCGCGTTCTCTCTTCTTCTTCATCGGAATCCCAATCCAAGGATATCAGCTCTTGTCTTGAACGTTTGATTGGAGAATCTTCATGATCATCCAAGTCTTCGCGCTGCCTTTTGGAGGGGAAAAGTGAACGTCTGGCAAGGGATCCACACAAAGAAACTGGGCTCCCATCAGAGGAACACTGAAAAAGAATAAATGAATATTCAGCAAAGGCACACAATTTACCAGACAAGATGAAAAGACACATAGGCAGAATCGTTTTGGATTTGTGACATCGATTTATGTATGCCAGGAACTAGCTAGAATGCATTCAACTATTAAAGAGCAGGATTACCAACCTCTGATAATGAGTCGGGCGATCCCAAACCACTGTCACTTGATTCGGAGTCGCTGTTTCTCCAGGCACATGGGCTGTCAAAGAGCAAGGTCTTTAGGTCAGTAAAGCTGATATCAGCCTCGGCTATATGAGCCATTGTAAAACACGGGGAAGACATACTACTTGTATTGGAGGAATGGAGAATAAAAATCAATGCAACTAGTAGATAAACGCTGGATGTAATGATCAATCTCCCGACCCCGCTTGCTTATAAGCTGTTTCTTAATGAAGCCAGAGATGTCCTCTTGATTGGATTAGTGTGAGCTTATTTCACAGTGAGGTGACGGGTTGAGTGACTGAGGCCAAGTCAGCGGTGATTCAATTAAAGCTTAAAACAACACGCTTTTGTAGGCGTGACTGTATACACTGATCTATAGGTCAAATTTAATGACGACGTTGATATAGGAAACATGTTCTACTTAGCCCCTTTTATCTTAGCTCAATGCAACGTCCCTATACCAAGTAATTGGCAACTGCATTTCTACGTATGGCTTCACATACAATAACAAAACGCAATTGTGTCCCACTTGCTTGGATGTCTTGATGTGTGCATTCAAAACTTGGCCTCAACGATACTTTTACTTTTGCATGTAAAGTTTACCATACACTGGTCATCCTGAATAACATGCGAGTATGATAGAACATGTTGCGAACCTCTGTTCAATATATGTGCAAGTTTAATATATGTGTAAGTTAAATATATGTGTAAGTTAAATATATGTATAAGTTTGTATTGAATAGAAAGTATTGTTACTTGGACAGCAACTGTCTATAGGTATGTGCTGTGTCATCACTTCTGACAGCACAAAGTTGTCAACACACAAGAAAATAATGAGTTGTCTGAACTGAACTGATCTTTTATTCACTCAGGCTGCAAACTGCAGCATAAGAGGTACATAAATAATATTTACATTTATATACACCATAAAAAGTATATACAAACGGTATGATAGGAGCAATGTACATCGAGCGAGAGTTTTCTTAAAGTTCCTAGTTTCTTGGTGTTAAATAGGATACAGTGAAGCCTCGTTAATCCGGACGGTTGCGTTTGTCAGCAAATTCGTCCGGATTGCGAATCTTCCGGACTACTGAATCAAGACCCAAGTTCAAGCAAGAGTTGATTCCCTTACTATTACAAAAACGACAGGAATCTGGATAAAACAAATAAATATTTAATGTAAAGCTGATAAAACGATGAATAGCAAGTACAACAATAATCTATAATCATAGCAAAAAGTCTTTCATTGTTGTCTGTGTTCGTTTAACCATCCTCATTGAATTCATCACATCAATAATTTTACCGAGTGGTATCCGAATGTTGATCCGACGTGTCTGATCACGTCCTTCCTCAGCACAGGTGAGGTAATGTCTAACAAGCGATCTATTGTATACTGAAAGCCATTAAAAATGCAATTTGACATTCATCCTTTCTTTACTCACACTAATTTCAACATATATAAACCTAACTGGCAGATATGTTTTAAGTGAACATCTGTGAATAATTTCATTTGAAAATGTCCAGTCAACAACAACATCAGTGGAACAACGACATCACACAAAGGAGGGGTCACTTGCAGTCAATATCGTGTGTGTCGACCGTGCGCTGCAAGACATGCTCGCAGTCTTTGGGGCATTGAAAGACACACATTACGCAGGAACAGCTGTTGGATGGTCTGCCTCTGATGGTCTGTGGTCTGATCATGACACCACCCCCTCCAAAACGATCATGTTCAAGGACACAGTTTGGCGCAAGCCTTTCTCCTTTACGTCGATAAATCTGTTGACGTCCATCTGCAAAGGATAAGTTAAACCTGGATTCATCTGAAAAAATTACATCTGGCCATGTCCTGTTGCCAAGATTGGCCCCATTTGCTGCCCATCGCTGTCTGGCAAGTCTGTGGCGATGCAATAAGGTTGGACCACGGTACGGGTGACGACACCGGATGTTGAAGGCAGCAAGGCGTCCTTGCACCTTTTGGGCGCTGAAATGACGTTGACTTGTCCCAATTGTCCTCCTTGCCTAATCATCAGCTGTTTGGAACCGATTTCGCAAGTGTGAAACTCGGATATTGCGGTTTTGTCGAGCTGTTATCACAGGTCGCGGACGATCAGCAACACTTCCGGTAGCCCGAAAACGTTGTCTGAGTCGACTTACAGTGGATGGATTACAGGGCCTGGGTGCAGGT